ATTTTTCAAAAAAAAATATGTTTCCTCCTCTTCCAATTTCCTGCGAGAATTTTTCGACCATCGACTCCTAAAAGTTTTTTGTTTGTAAAAAAAATAAAGAAGAAAACCGAAGTTTTATTTCTCTTTTTTCCCCCCCAAACATAATTTATATGAAAAAGAATCTATACTTTATAAATATTAGAAAAAATGGCCTAAAAACACGAAGTAACTAAAGAAAAGGTCAAGTGTTATGATCCTGAGATATTTTTTTTCAGGTGTGCGAGAGCGTGTGAGAAGGTAGATCAATACACGAGGGTAGAGGTATAACCTACTCCTTCGATAGTTTCGCCATCTTCCATTATTATTTTGTACCAAACACTGTTGCTTCCTCCCACAATATTTTTCATCTCTATAAATATATATCCACGTATATTTACCCTTTTTTACGTTCACTCTTATTTTAAGGTAAACAATTATATTGTAGCTTAAAAAATATACTTTTTCAAAAAAAAAAAAAAAATATTTCCAACATCACGAATCAAAGAAAATGAAATATTATTTATACGGATTTTCTACTCCTTACTTTAAGTCAATATTATTATATTTTTGAAATAAAAATTTTTTCTTTCTCTAAAAAGGAAAAATTTACTCTAGACAAATAAATTTATTTACGTTTCACAATTTTTATTTTTAATGCTTTTCCCTCTCAACTTTTTTTGACCTTCGTGTGTCAAAAGTTGATATTTTTTTCTCTTTTTTTTTTTAAAAAAAAAAAGAAGTTACGCTTATTCTAAAACGGAAATGTCTTCTGACTCGTTAAATGAATGTCGCTAAATGACTCTAATTGGTAGGAAAGAACGAGAAAAAAAATTCACGTGAATAGCAACACTGAGAAGAAATATTCTTTTTCTCTTATTGCACTCTGTGTCATACATAAAATTTTTTGTTTTTTATTACTAATTTTTTTTATTGTAATAATTTTAGAATTTTTTGTAATCAAGACTCTTGATAATTTTCGAATTTATTCCTGTAAAATAAGAAATTTTTTTAATTTGTCTCAACAAAATTCTTATTCATTAACAAATTTTTGATTCCTTTTTTCTGAATTGTCAATTAATTTTGACGAATTGCTATTCGTCAAAAAAAAATATTGCAAATTGTTTTTTTTTTCAGTTTTCAACCACAAAAAATGTTATTTAATAAAAATAAATAGTTTTAATTCTTAATCTATAGTTACAGTGAAAAATGTTTAGTATAAAATTTATCATTTTAGATTAAAAATTTTTTGAAATCCACTTATTAATAATTAATGAATTACTTCATCGGTTTTAAACATTTTAATATAATTCATCGATATCGATTAAAATAAAAATTTAAAACATTTTTAAATTCTTTTTTAATTCAATTTTAACTAAATTACTCCAAAAAAATATAATTAAGAATTATAATATATAATATTAATATATATATTATTAATATATAATATATATATATATATATATATATATATATATATATATATATATATATATATATATATATATCTTATAATTAATAAGAATTTTGCAAAAATTTGTCGAAGCAATTCCATTATTTAAAAATTTTTTAGTAAAATTCTGTGCAAGAATTCAATTACTTTTAATAAAATTTTTTTAAAGGTAGTCAATTATTTTCAATACAATTTTCATTCAATTTCTAAAAAAATTTTTTTTTTTAATTTTAATCAAATTTGTTTGAAACAATTCAATTACCTATACTTCAAAATTTTGATAAAATTCTTTATAAGAATTTTTTTTTCGGAAAATGTTAATAAAATCTGGAAATAAATTTACCGAAATAATTCAATTATTTTCATAAATAATAAAATTCTTCGAATAAATTTAATCTTCAAAATTGTAATAAAATCCTTCAAAACAATTAAATTTTTCCAAGAATTTAAAAAAATTCTTCGAAAAAATTTCAATTCTTTTTTTAATTAATAAAATTATTCTTCACGCAGTAATTCAATTATTTTTAATTTAATTTCAACTTAAATCATGACAAAAATTTATTAAAAAGAATTTTAGTGCAATCTCGCAAAATAATTCAATTATAATTTAACAATTTTAATAAAATTCTTCTAATGAATTTAATTTCGAAAATTGTAATAAAATCCTTAAAAACAATTAATTTTTTTAAGGAATTTTTTAAAAATAATTTGTTGGAATTCAATTAATTTTTTTGAATAACAAAATACTTAACAGTAATTCAATTATTTTTAATCTAATTTCAATTAAAACACTTGAAAAAAATTATTTTATAAGGTTCTTAATAAAAAAGTTCTTTGCAAGAATAAAATTATTTTCATAAATTGAAAAATTCTTTGCAGGAATTCAATTATTTTCATAAATAATAAAATTCTTAGCAGGATTTCAATTATTTTTGTATAAATATCAAAATTTTTTCTATGAATTTAAGAATTTTTGAATAGAATTCTTCGGAACAATTAAATTATTTTCATAAAATAAAAAAATTGTTTAATTAAACTTTTCTTCCGTTTAATCTTATAGCATTAAATTAGAATTACATTAATAACAAATTTTTTTAAAATTCACTTATTTTCCAAATTTTCAATTACAATTCTCCAAAAATACGATTATACTTAAAAACAATTTTCAAAAGTAAAAGAAAAGAAAATTTTTTTTAAATATATATAATTAATTTCAATGATTAATATTCAATTATCTTCAAAAAAGTTCCATTAAATTTTTTCGCAATTTCTAAATTAGATTTTTAAAAGCTTTAACAATTTTTGATAAAAAAATATTTAAAAACTTGTTATGTATTTATTTTAATTAAAATTTCAAATAATTTTAATGTAAAACCTTTTGGAATTTAATTATTTTTAAAAATTACAACTGAAATTTTTCCAAAAGTCAGTTATTTAAATTAAATTTTAGAATTTTTCGAATAAAATTATTCAAAACTTTAATAATTTTTAAAAGAAAATAATATCCATTTATAATTTACTAAAATAAACATTTAAACATTTTTACACTTTTACGTCGATTCAAAATTTTCAAAGAATTCAATTTAAAAGTCTTTTAAAATTTAATTATTTCCTGAAATTCCTGCGTTATAACGCTTCAAATATGCAATTATTTTCTAAAATTTTAACTGAAATTTTTTTTTAAACCAATTCTTATTAGAATTTAATTATTTAAACAGAAAAATAAATAATTCATAAAATAATTACTGTCTTTTTGAAATTTGAGTTAGTTTTTCAAACTTCACTTATTTAATTATAGTTCAAATATTGTTATGTCAAAAGTTTGGCAGTTAATTTGTAATTATAACAAAATAAGTGAAGTAAGAAAATTTAACTCAAATTTCAAAAAGACAGTAATTATTTTATGAATTATTTATTTTTCTATTTAAATAATTGAATTTTGATGAGTTAGTGATAATACACTAACTTTACGAGAGGACAAAATATCTCGATTATTATATAATAATAATAATAATAATAATAATAATAATAATAATAATAATAATAATAATAATAATAATAATAATTATTATTATTATTATTATTATTATTATTATTATTAATAATAATATTATTATAATATTATTATTATTATTATTATTATTATTATAAAACAGAAAGTTATAGTAAACAGAAATTTCTCTGCAGTTATAAAAATTTCCAATCAACAAAATTTGTTAGAAACAATTTTACAAAGAAGTTAAAAGAAAAGAGTTCAATGTGCAAAAAAATGTGCTGCTCAATAAATAAGATCCTAATCAATAGAAAAATCATTTCTCAACTGAGTATAGAGCAATATTTTCGAACATAATTTTCTTGAAAGTATCGAATTTTTACTGAAGTGGATCAAATTGATGCAAAAAAATTTGAATAAATTTGTTGGTATCAATTCGTTGGAATTTGATATACTTTTAAGTTAACAGCGAATGCAACAAGGTTCTCATTAATCTGGTGGAGAATAAAAGCGATAAAAAAGAAGAAATATATACATTTCAAACTGTGGAAAACTCGAAATGAAGAAAACTTTCTACTCGTAAAAATTACTCCAATAGAAATAAAAAAGAACTATTAAAATAACTATTTCGCAAATATACGAGTGAACTAAATATTATAATAAAAATGTGTGTGACAAAAATGCGTTTAAAATGAACAAATGTTCATGTTTATGGTCTTAATAAAAATTCGCGCACGCAAACTAAGAGACAAAAATATGTAGAACAATTCAAAAAGGACCTTTTTATTCTCTCTCTGTCTCTCTTTGTGCATATTATATATATGTTATCAATTTATGACATAGTTTTACTATTGCGTCACACACGCACATAGTTGGAGTTGTACGCATGGGGTAACGCATGCGTTTTACAAATGAGACTTGCGCGATTACAGATTTTCAAAGGGTGAGAGAGAGAGCGAGGGAGAGAGACAGACGAGAAGAGAGAAAGATACGTTTTCAGGTGGTTTTCTCAGGGTAGTTTTCGGCGCGACCTCGTGCATTTCGTTATCACAATGTTACTCATTCGTCTTATCAAATAATTTTCACTTTTATCACAGAAAATATTTCCAAATCTCTCCCATTGTCCATTATTTTGTACCAACAAGCATTTTCCTTATTCGCAATTAATAAATAATTCAGCGCCTTCACAAAAAAATGTACCTAAAAGCAAAAAAACACCAATATTAGCAACAAAAAATAATAAATATTCCTAATTATATCAACCATGATTTACGAAAACAGACATTTAAGAACGAGAATTAATTTTAAATTATGCCAATCGTGTAGAACGTCAAAGAAAAGAATGGAAAATTAAAAGTTCAAAAAAAAAGGAATTAAAGTTTTTGGAGTAAAATTTTTTTTAAATACCCCAAAAAAATGAAATAAATAAATAAAACAAAAATAAATACCCAACTGAAAAAATATTCAATAATTCAAATAATACGTAAATAAATAAAATCATAATTGAAATAATAAATGAATAAAACAATAAATGAAATAATAAATAATATGATAAATAAAATAATAAATAAATTAAACAATAAATAAAATAATAAGAAAAATAAAGACAAAAGGAGAAGTAAATTTAGATGTTTTTAGTGTTACCTTTCATTTAGATAAATAGGTAAATAATTCCGTGTGTAAATGTAAATAAAAGAAGAGAAAATATTTTTTTCGAAAAAACATGGAATAAAGGAAAAAGTTGATAGGAAATTTGAAGAGAAGAAAAAATGTGATTTTGTAGTGAAAAGTGGGGAAAAAAAGAAAAATCGAGCACAATGTCACTGACAGTGATATTAAAAAATTTCCAAGGCTTGAAAAGCAAAGGAGAAAAATTTGTACGAATTGATTTTCGAGGTAAATTTCCATCTAATATTGCATGAAACAAACACATATATGATAGACACACACGTGTTTTATGTATTTTCAATTTACTTAAGTATATCATTAGTCTATTTTAACGGGACTGAATAATATATTATTATATATGATGGATTTAATTTAAATTTCCTCTCTCACTCTCCAATCGTTATACACGCAAATTATTTATCGCGAGAAATTTAAATAATTTTTTGAGGTCGCTCTTAAGTTTTCTTTTATATTAAGAATCAGTTCGATATTTTATTTAGATTTTTTTTTCTTTTAGAAATGTAAATAAAGTTGTTGATAAATTTTTCATATTTTGAGTATATGGATAGGTTCTTCTGGATTTTTTCTGTTTCTTTTATTTCTTAAAAACTTTTATTCACATTTTTTAGTTTTGCATTTTTTTTCTTTTTAATTTTGGTAATTTTTACATTTCTTGTTTTTCATTTGGAAAATATTTTAGTTTTGTATCGTTTACATTAATACTTTTTTATTTTCAGTTTTATTGCTTGTTTGTATTTTGTATTGTTAACATTTTTTGTTTTTTATTTGAAAAATTTTTAGTTTTGTAATTTTATACATTTTGAGTTTTCAGCTTCGAAAAATTTTTAGTTTATTGCATTTTTTTATATTTTGTCACATCTACCTTTTTTATTTTTAGTTCTGTAATTTTTACATTTTTCGTTAATTATTTGTAATTTTTACATTTTTGTAATTTTAGTTTTTTACTTTGAATATTTTTTAGTTTTCTACTTTTTTACTTTTCTAGTTAGTGTCTTTTAAATTTTTTAGATTTTAATTTTTTCATTTTACATTTTTTATTTCTTACTTTGAAAATTTTATAGCTTTTATTTTTTTACATTTTTTCACTTCTACATTTTTTTATATTTAGTTTTGCATCTTTTACATTTTATTAGATTTAAATTTCTTTACTTTTTCACTTTTTATTTTTAGTTTTGTAATCTCAGCATTTTTTTTACTTTGAAAAATTTTTAGTTTTATATTTTTTTAATTTTTGAGATTTCAATTTTTTGACTTTTTACTTATTTTATTTGTAGATGGAAATTTTTTAGTTTGTATTATTCACATTTTTTGTTATTTTATTACAAAATTTTTTAGTTTTATAATTTTTTCAATTCTTAGATTTGAATTTAATGATTTTTTCTTTATTTTATTTTTAGTTTTTTACTTTTTATTTTTTCGTTTTGTAATTTTAACATTACAGTTTTGTATTTTTTACATTTTTACACGGAGAAAAATATAAAGTAAATTTTTCTACCTTTATAGTAAAGAATTTCCGGTAAGGCATTTCTGCGGTAATTTTTACTACTTTTACAGTAAATTTTGCTACGTTCGAAGTACACATTTGTAAAAATTAGTAAAATTTACTTCGAACGTTGCAAAATTTACTCCAAAGGTAGTAAAAATTACCAGAAATGCTTTAGGTACCCGAAATGTTTTACTATAAAAGTAATAAAAGTTACTTTATATTTTTCTTCGTGTAGTTTTGTACCTTTTCCATTTTTTTAGATTTAAATTTCTTTACTTTTTCACTTTCTATTTTTAGTTTTGTAATCATAAATTTTTTTTAGTTTTCTATTTTTTTCATTTCTTAGATTTGAATTTTTTTACTTTTTACTTATTTTATTTGTAGACGGAAATTTTTTAGTTTGTATTGTTTACATTTTTGTTTTTTTCTTTGACAATTTTTAAGTTTTATATTTTTTCATTTCTTAGATTTGAATTTTATGATTTTTTCTTTACTTTATTTTTAGTTTTATGCTTTTTATATTTTTAGTTTTGTAATTTTAACATTATAGTTTTTAACTTTTTTACATTTTTTGGTTTTTATTTGAAAATTTTGTAATCTTGTAATTTTATTTTTTTTTCCTTGAAAACTTTTTAGTGTTTTCCTTTTTTACATTTTTAGATTTGTATGTTTTACATTTTTTAGATCTGAATTTCCTAATTTTTCAGTTTTTAGTTCTGTAATTTTACATTTTTAGTTTTTTACTTTGAAAATTTTTTATATTTTTAGTTTTGCATCTTTTCCATTTTTTAGATTTGAATTTTTTCATTTTTACTATTTTTATTTTTTTACTATTTTTATCTTTAATTTTGTAAGTTTTACTATTTTTATTTTTGAAAGTTTTATATTTTTAGTTTCTTATCTTTTACATTTTTCCATTTTCATTTTTTTTTATTTTTAGTTTTGTAATTTTTACATTTTTCATTTTTTCACTTTTTTTATTTTTAATTTTGTAATTTTTACATTTTCCATTTTCACATTTTTTATTTTTAGTTTCGTAATTTTTACCCTTGTACTTTTTACAGTTTTTAGTTTTATATTTTTTTACTTTCTATTTAATTTCAGTTTTTTTAATTTTACTTTTTCAGATTTATACCTTGAAAATTTTTTCGTTTTGACTTTTTAACATTTTAAGTTTTACACCATTTACATCTTTAGTTTTTGTTAACTAGTTGTTTTTTTACATTTTTAATTTTGCCCTCTTTTAATTTTTTACTTCTTGTCATTTTTACATTTTTCAGTTATTATCTATCTTAAATTTTCCGTTTGCGTAAATTAAAAAAAATTTTTGTTGTCTCGAATAAAAGTAAAAAGAAAATTTTCTTTTTCCTCTATAAACTCTGACGTTTACTGTAATTGGATTACAAATTTAATGCTGTATTTATTATTGTGTTAAGGAAAGTTTAAAAGTTTAACTATAAAATAGGTGAGAAGAAAGAAACTTGGAAAAAAAGATCATCGTAAAACTTTTTTTTGAAAGCAGAAATAAATGGAGATCAGTATTTTTTTGAAAGCTTACAGATATATATGTTTTATGAGTTGTAAGTTATAGGAGATTCGTGTCATTTAATAAAAAATACAGTTTACTAAATCGCTTTTGATATAAAGGGAAATTTTTTTGTCAGATTCAAATTTTTATTTACGGAAAAAAGAGAAAGAAAGAAAATTATTTGAAAATAATGTCAATTACAAAAGTTGCAAGTTTCAAAATTAAAAAAGGAAAACTATTTATTAAATATTCTAATTAGATTTTTAACCATTTTTATCTAAACAATTTTTTTTTAAACTTCTTAAATATTTTTGGGTTGAAATTTTTTTTATTCAAAACTCCAAAAAAATGGTATTGAAAGTTTTTATTAAAAACCTCAAAATAAATTTTCGTATCAAAAGTTTTTATTAAAAACTCAAAATGAATTCTGTACTTATTAATAAATTAAAAACAAAAGAATAAATTAATTATTAATACACATTTAATAAAGAGGGGAGGGATTGAATTATCTTGAGTATAGAAAATTTATTAAACAAACATTATTGTTGAATTGGAAAACGAAAAACTTTAATAGACAAATAAAAATATACTGGAAGTTTGTTGACAGAAGCAAACAGAACGTTATCTCAATGGTGTATCACTTTTGGTATCAATTTAATCTTATTGCAACAAAAGCAGTAAAATTCTTTCTCTCAATTAATGCAATTTTCTTTTCAGCTTTTTAACGATTTAGTCATATTTCTAAAAATAAACAAATTCCCTTTTTTTACCTATTTAATAAGAATGTACACGGAATTTATTTTTTCATTAAAACAACACTCAAGAAAATGACTAATTATTATTGTTATACAAATTATAATCTCCCGGAATCAAGAAGTAGAATAAAAATATAAAAGGAAGGAAAAAGAATTTAATTTAATGAGATCAAAGTATAATTTGTTCGTGTGCGCGTTAATTTGAATGAAAATCGTTGAAAAAAGATTTATATTGCGTGTATATAGATATATAAAAATAAAAATAAACGTCATGACATTAGGGTAGAATAAATTTTACGTTAATTATTTAAAAGTCGTGATTACTCAGCAGTGACCATTCTCTCTTATCTAGAGATAATTTGTTGAAAAAAAACTGATATTATCAATTAGTATTATTATTAATTTGAAAAAAAGAAATATTCTAATTTTCATTTCGCCCCAAATATATCAACCGCTTATCTAACAATCTTTTTTTACTCTCGGATATTAGAAATTTGTAATTTCAGTTTTTCTTTTTGTGTAGTTTAAAAAATAAAAAAAATTATTTTCAGATATTTATTGCAAATTGCAGAATATATCAAAAATTTGCAAAACTTCTCCAAAACTATTTTCATAATTTAGATACAATTCTTTTTTAGAATTTTTAACTAAAATTTTTATCTATATCAATATTTTATTTTTAATAATTTTTAAAACTATTCTTTGGAAATACAATTATTCAAAGAAAAAAAAAGTTCACCATAAAATAATTTTCAAATCCATTTGATTATAATTCAGCAGAAGATATATGAAGCAAATGAATGAATAAATAAATTCAATTTTTTATAAAATTTCAATTGTTCGAAAATTTTTCAATTAAACATAATATTCAAAAATTCAATTACAAAAAAATGACAATTTTTTAAATACTAACTTTTTCAAAAATACTAATTTTATAAAATTTCAATTTGGAACTTTTTAAAATTCAATTGTTCATAAAAATCGTAAACGACTCTTTCAAAATTAAATAACTTTTTGTATTTTCAAGTATTCATAATTTATAAATAATAATTTTATAAAACTTTTTCAGAAATAAAAGATAAAAAAAATATCAATTATTGCTAATTTTTTTTAGAAATAATAAAATTTCAAAAGGGTTTACATTGAAATTATTTGAAATTTCAATTAAAATAATTCAATAAATAAATAAATAATAAGTTTTTAAATATTTGTTTAAAAAAAATTATTGAACTTTTGAATTAATTTAATTTAGAAATTCCAAAAAAAATTTGTTTAATGAAAAAATGTAATTAAAATTTTTTGAAGATAAACGAATATCCGAAAATTTTGTATTTTATTATTTTCTTCTTTTTCTTTTGCTTTTTTACACAACAAAAAAAAATCAATATTTAAAAATCAAAAAACAAAATTTGTTGTATAGATTATTAAATTTATTTTT